CGTTTTTCGACGAAAAAAACGACCATGTATAGTAAGACGTTTTTCGACGAAAAAAACGACCATGTATAGTGAGGCGTTTTTAGCCGAAAAAACGACCATGTATAGTAAGGCGTTTCTAGCCCAAAAAAACGACCATGTATAGTAAGGCGTTTTTCGACGAAAAAAACGACCATGTATAGTAAGACGTTTTTCGACGAAAAAAACGACCATGTATAGTGAGGCGTTTTTAGCCGAAAAAACGACCATGTTTTGTAAGGCGTTTTTAGCCGAAAAAAACAACCATGTATAGTAAGGCGTTTTTAGATGAAAAAAACGACCATGCCAAACCACTTCTTTCAAATCAACCGCTACAACTGATGGAATCAACCTGGACAAATCAGAGATTTTTTTACAAGTACTCAAACAAGTAGCAAGTAACAAGGTAACAGGAGGATTACATTTTCCGTCCGCGTGCCTCGGTGACACGAGATCTAAGCGATGGAGGCTCGCCAAAACAATTGGGCTGGCAGTCGCCACACCGAGGGGAATGATGATCCCACGATCTTGGCCTGCCCCGCGTTCAAACGTTAAGCGCCACTCGGACGGAGTCAGACAACAATATCGACGACGCATTGTTTTCACGTCATAGGTGGACGGAGCCAGGCCAGGCACGCTCACATGACACGCGTGTCAATGTTGCGAGATTTCAACGGCCACTTCACCGTTCATCTTGACTCCTTTTTCAATTGTTGCGATCGGTGCAAGTGTTGACGCCAGTGACATCGTGTCCATGACTTGTCGGGCGTGTATTTCAGAGTGACGTGCATACGTAGTGTCTGTCTGTCAACTTTGGGGATTGCTATTCCATTCTTTTCTTGGCGTTGGCATTTCTCTCGGCCATTCTGAAGGAAGAAGCTCAAAGCGTTTTGGGGGAGAACGGTGCCTGGCTTTTGGGATTTCCTTTGACGCTGACATTTCTTTGCATTTTAGTTTGAAGAATTTGGGTTTTGTTCACGACGAGGGCCTTGTCGACGGGTTCGGCGATGAATCCCACCGACTTAGTCACTTTTAAAAAGACGTTGGAATTCTCCGAACATCAAGTTTCCCCGCAAAGGTCCCTTCCCCGGCGTTCCCTGCTCCTGCCCCGACTCCTTTCGCGCCATCCCATCGCTCTTCTGCACCCACTTGATTTTGTGGGCCCGGCTTTTATTGTGAAGGGGCACCTTAGTTTGAGCTCATTTTCTCTCTCTCTCTCTCTCTCACTGTATGGAAGCGCGGCTGCGACGCAGCCCGACTTCAGAGCGGCTCCCCGCCGGACGCCAGCCTCCTCGGGATGAACTTTGTGTCGCACACTGCCGAGGAGATGCGGGAGCCAACTCCGCGTCCTCTCCCGTCCTCTCGGCTGTGAACGCGTGTGGTGGGCAGGAGGAGGAGGAGGAGGAGGGCTGGGGCGGGGGGGGGCGCCGCACGGATTTGACGCCTCGCATTCGAGACAATCCGCGTCCTTGACGACCGTGATCGTCCGTGTCTTCCAACCATGAGCGGGCTGCGGCGGCAATCTTGGAATACAGGCAAGTTTGCAGAAGTGGACTGTTGAATGCGACACCCTGGGTGCACGTCGCGCGGATTGCGCTGCTCGCGGAGGCTCCGTGCGGCAGCTGGCTTTTCTTCGGGAAAATGTTCAATGGATGTCACGATGCGCTGACGGCCGCAGCGGCGCGCGGCGCATTCCTTGGCTCGACCGCTAAATGTGCCGCATGTTTCTTTTTTTCCAAATTTGGCCTCATTTCAAGTCAAGTTGCTTCGTCACATCTCAACTGGGTCCGCGGTTTGCCTTTTCCCCACCGCCGATCTTCAACTGGTGGCTCGGCGGGAGCGATCTGGCCAATAGCCCGGCTTCCTGTTTCCCGGCAGAAAACAGCAGATGAGCTGTATGAATCAGTGATGTTTTTTTTTTTTTTTTCGTATGTGCGGGAGGTTGCGGGGTGGCGGCACACCAATCAAATTCTGATATATTTCGAAACCCCGAAAACAAAATGCACGAGGATGCCACGACTGCATCGCAGTTCTCTGGCTTTGGTTCGAATTTCGGCGTGGACCTTCTTGAGTTTGCACGTTCTCCCTCTGCTCGTGTGGATCATCGAGCGTGCGGTCAGAAATCGTCATCATTTGGGGCCCACTGAAGTGGAATTGGACCACTTCACCGGGCCCCAAATGATGAGGGCTTTTCATGGCAACCTTTCCGCCAAATGAATGCGCCCTTGGGCATTGCTTGTAAAGTGATGCCGAATGCCGTGTTTTCTCATTGGCGTTATCCGAAGCGGTGGTTTTGATTTGTGATTTTTTTTTTTCACCTTCCGAAGGGCTCTGATCGGGTATCCATCGCCACACCATGAAGACGCTCAACGCCAGAGGCGCGACATCATTATCACCCTCCCGCCGGCGAAGGCCTCGCTTTACCTTACGCGCTCGAAAGAAGAAGGACGGAGCGATCCGAGGCAAGCTTCGCCTGCGTTCTCTCGCCGGAGCCTTCCTGGCGCTCGGGGTCATCGTGGTCACGCTGGGCGCGGCTCTGGCTGTGGCGGGATACCGAATGTCGCGTTGGTCCATTGCGGGAGCGGCGGAGGGCAACGGCGTTCCCGAGCCGGCGGGGAATCGCAGTCGGGGAGCGCAGGGCTTCCTGTCATCGGTCAGCGAGCGGATGAAGCTGCTGGGTCCCGTCATCATGGGGGTGGGACTCTTCATCCTCATCTGTGCCAACACCGTCTTGTATGAGAACCGCGACAGAGAGACTCAGGTGCTGCTCGCTCAGATGCGCAGCGTAATCTGCTCCGTGTCTGCCGCCGTTCCCTCGGCCGACCTACGAGAAATGGCGGTGGCCAACTTTGTGTCCAAACATCACTGGGTGAGCACTTTGCCCGCCGCCCAACTCAACAGCTTCGACCGCCGGCGGCCGGCGAGCTCCGAACCCCCGCGCCGGACGAGGCCCGTCGACCACCGACGGGAAGATTCGGCGCCTCCGGCTCGGGGCGACGCCCCCTCTCGCGAGTCCAGCCAAGTGGACTTCAGGGCGGCGTTTGAAACCGAGCCGAGCTTGAACGCCCGACCCGACACCTCACTCGCAAAGCTCAATCGCCATCCGATGTCCGCCGGCTCCATGTCCACTCTGGGGGCGGACGACGTGGACATTCCGGCCGCTTGGCGGCCTCGCCGCTGCCATAGTATGAGCTACAGGACTAAAGCGGACGAGGCTCAGTCCGCTTTCGCGTCCGCGGGGGAGGAAGATCACAGCGATCAACCGCTTACGAGACGAGAACCTCTTTCGCGAGTTAGCATCGACATTGCCGGACAGGTTGCGGATGCCTCCGAAGAGCGCGCGCGCCAAAGCTGGCCTCGGCTGGACCTGGCCGGCGGGAGACGTTACCTGAAGCTGGAGAACAAAGAGGACTCTGTGGACAAACTGCTGGAGCGCTTGGAGCGGCGGTGTTCGCGGTGGGAGAAGAGCTTCGGTTCAGGACCTTTCCAGTGAGGAACACTTACAGATTGCGAAACAAGTTACGAATCCTCTTTTGCTTGAAACGTTTCTTCCCCACCCACACCCGCACCCACAAACTGGCGGATTGTCGCAACTCACGACGTCGGTATCGAAACGGGACACGCCAAGTTACCAGCCGAGATCTCGGGTGAGGCGATGAAGGAGTGCTGAAAAAATATCAGTCGCCGTGATATCTTTTGGGACCCTGAATGACGCCGCGAAAAAAGTGAACCGGATTGCTCTTGTGGAGGCCAGAGACCAAAGTTGTACTTCAGTCAACTCGCCACGTTTGTTTGTCGGTTGCTAACGCAGAATTAGCTTGTCGTGAAAGCAATGAGATCGTTTCCCTGCCGTCTCGTGCTGAGCGTCTCCCGGTATTTATGAGGAGGGTCCTCCCGCTCTTAAAGGCGCACGCGCAAGGAAGTATGCCCACGCAGACCGCTTTCTGATCCAAGAGAACAACGGACGGGTCAAAAACAGCCGTTGGTGAGGTCACCATTGCGACGGAGAGAGGATTCGGCGACCCGGCACTCCGTCTCCACCTTAAATCCATGTGCGGAGGTCTCCGTGTCTCTGTCGTTCTTGTCTCTGTGATGCCTGTTGTGTGTTCTAAATGTATACGAAGCAATATTAGCGGTCCGACAGGAAAATCGCCGGCCATGTCTTGGACTTTGTCAAACCACCGCATTAAAAACCGTCGCCGCGCCTGTGTCGCAGGCAAAAACTCTACGCCGTTCTCTCTTTTATCCGAGCGGTAACTTCACTCGCACCCGCTCGCCAACGTCCGCACGACGTAATCGACTCTCGAGGCTAGCGACTGACAACGCCATTCCTCATTCGAAAGGAGCCCTTGGGTTTTCTCAAGCAGCAAATATGCGTCGGGGGTCGGCAAGAGTGAGCCGCAAGCACACTTTATCATTCTGTCTGTTGCAGTGGCTGATGTTTGTGCCCCCCCCCCCGCCTTCCCTGCTGGTTGTCGAACACACAAAAGGTATTCTGAGCCGACTGTGCTAGTATGGGGGGGAATTCCCTGGCTGCAGTTATCCTCAGCAGAGCCTCCAAATTTTCGGGGGCCTTCTTCCGTGGTTTTGTGGAACGCATTCCATTGTGATCCCGTTTCGTTGAAATGGCCGTTTAGAAGACGGCTCCTGGGTTTCGAACAGCTCATAAAGCCAGCAGGCGGGACCCGCCGGCGGCCCTGTGCGGACACAGCCTGTCCAATGCGATACAGCCCAGGACAGCGCAAGATTACCAAGGTGGTATGGCCACGAAAATCTTTTGAAGTAAGGAAGAACTTCATTTAGTCAAGCCATAGCCTTGTCTAATAGGGGGTGGTGCTTTCTCACATCTTGTGGCATCTACTGGCAATTCCAAACCTCAAATACTGATTTGTCATCCAAACTCTGGGCTAAAGCCGGTCGAATATTTTGCAAATTGTGCGAGGGTCTGCATCAGGCCGTTGTCCCCTGAGGCTTCGTTGCCGGGTTCCGTGAGGACATCCATGTCTCCGTCGATTTGTTGCGACCACACTGACGCATCCTTGCACGGACTCAACATCCGTGCTGAATTTTTTGCTGCCTGATCTTCGATTTGGTCCTCAACAGTCGATATAATTTGGCCTCGCGTGGGATATCCGAGCCTGCGGCAGAGACCGGCGAAGCCAGGAGATGAGCGAGCTCTTCGACTGTCGCGCGCCTCGAGCGACATCATGTCTGTCCTTGTTTCCACATGGTCTGGCTTCAACTCTTTGGCTCTTTTCCCACGAATGAGGGTCAATGTGGAAATCTTGCCGATTATTCCGGAAGCTCTTGAGAACGCGGAAGCCGATTGTCTCGCTAAGCCCGTCAAGCTTTGGTTGAACATTCCACGTTGAGCAAGTTTTCGATTGAATTAAAAAAATGATAGCAATCATCTATTTGATTTAAGCATGACAGTTTTAGGATCATCGGTCATGAATCTTGGGCGCTTGTTTTGATCTGACGTGATCAGCGTTTGAGATGAGCTTACGTTTGCTGCGGTTTCATGCAACTTGTATAATCAGGCACAGGGATCCCGAGTGACGTTGGCTGCCACACTCCGATAAGCAGCAGAACGTCGACGGATAGAAATTTGTACCCGTACACGACAAACGCGATGTTTCACAAAAAAAGTTGAAAAAGCACCACCACCACCTCAACTTCGCTTGACGAGCAAAACGGCCCGGTGCTGCTTACCAGTCGTCAGAAAGGTTTTGCTCGCTCTCGCCTGCTGTTTCCCCAAGTTACCATCGCACGGCTAACTCGTCAACAAACGCACGTTTGAGCAGCGCTGCTTTGTGTTTCCAACTCCCCGGCAACTAAAATGAATTACAGCTCACAAGAGAAGGGCTTGCCCGGGAGTGAAAAGAACACTTTCCATAAGCTGCCAAGACAGAACCTGGGGGAGCGCGGGTGGGAGGGGGCGGTGGGGTGGGGGGGCTTTTCCCTTGCGTGTCACTATCCATTTTGGGCGGAGCTTGAAACGAAGCCGTTTTCCCCTCACATCCGTCACCTTCCCCATTAGCGCATGCTAAATCATGCTAACTACATGCTCGTGTTAGCCAACACTTATTGGTTTCATTTTGCATAAAAGGCTCCCAAATCTCTGTCAAGACTTTGGCAACCTCACAATAAACAAGGTTACTGCTATTTCAAAGACTACTTTCAATCTGCTGGCACGAGAACCTTTTTCCTGAAGCTCCTTTGCCACCGAGGGCCGAGCGAGGCGCTAGGACGTGGCATCTTGTCTATTTCTGGGCCTTTTCTTCTTTGGGTGAAGGGGAAAACTCTTGCCTGGCTGACAGTTTGAGGCTGTCGCTTCTGCCTTCATCGGAGCCGTCAATGCGTCTTAAAAACTGTTGTTAACTGCCAATACTTGTCGGTGACGTGTCTTATAAACTGTTTAAGACACGTCAGCGGGAAGGATTTACAGCACCGATGAAGGCTGAAGCGCCAGCCGAAACTGCTCAGTTTTTCCTCTTCACCTTCAATCTGACTGTTGGCGATCGATGGTAGAAATGAGTTTTTGTTTGTTTCTCCCGTATGAGGGGTCGCACGTCAAACGAATACACATGACGTGTGAAAACAACATCTCGCTTTCTCACTTGTTCGAAATGTTTGATTGAGCAAAATGTCCCCAAACATCGGCAGGTCACAAAAGGGCCGTGAAAACGACTGACGAGTCCAATCTAAGATCATTTTCCATTGACCGGTCAGTTCAAGGGCCGAGATGACATCGGCGGTTACTTCTTCTTTGATTTCGCCTCGCGCATCATCTCTCTCTCAGGGTGATCCAAGCGAGGCCACGAGAATCGCGCCAACACAACGTGACACGCGAGAGGCCGCATTCTCATCGACGTGCGCTCGGCTCGGCGCGCGCTCATCTCCGCGGGCGATTGCGCTCTCTCCGAGTTTGGGTGCCAGATCAGCTTGCTCTCACTCGTCTGCGCTCACGCGACGCAAAATGACATCGAGCCGCAAAACGGGGGCCTCCCGAATCCACTTCAACGCGATGTTCCCAAAAACGGCCAAAAGGCTGAGCGGCGAGCTTTGTATGATCTCATTTGATGGGCGGCAGACTCTGAGGAAGCCAGGTGGTATTTTTAGCCCTTACGAGAGTCGATGCCGATGTGAAAACGTCGCCCCAGTCTAAGGTCCCGCATCTGCTTTTAGGGCCCGGGGGGGACACCTATTGAGCTCCTTTAGGCTTTGCGACAGTGAGCTAGCTACTCGCAATATACTAACGCCGCAAAGCTGGCAGAGTCGGTTTGATGTTGGTGCCCCCCCCCAAAAAAAAAAAAAAGTAACAAGGCCATCATCCCAATGTCAAAGCAACTTGGAGCTCATGATCTTTGTTGGGAAGTGACTCGCATCCGTGCTAAGCGGCGTGTGATGCCGTGCGGCTGAGTCAGCGGCGATGGCAGACGCTGTTGTCTCGCGCGAGCTTGTCGCCACCAATGCGAAATCCCCATTTCACGGGGACATCCAAAAATGACAAGCCCCCCAGAGAGGAAAATCGTGTCACACCACGACAGCACGAGCACAAATGAGTTTCGGTGACACCTCTTTGGCAGAAAAAAACAGCGCGCGGACATGTGCGGACCCCCGATCGGTTTTACAGGGGGGTCCAAACTAAATGTGATGTCTTTTGCAATGGGCACAAAGTGGCGGAAACAATTTTGCTCTCTAAAATGGAATGATCTCTCTTCCCGACGGTGTTTTGAAGAGACATTGTGTCACTCTTTGCATCATGAATGGTTCATTTGTAACTTGCCAGACCGGGAGTGACACGCTCTCTTACAAGCGGCGGCATTCTGGACCAACTGGAGACGCTTCGTGGAGGAGTGGCTGACTCCAAAGTCAAGTGCCTCGCAGTCATCCGGCCGAGAGGTGACGAATCCACGGAGGGCCGTATCTCACGAGAGGCTTGACGTGCTCTCAGTGTTTGAGCTGACAAGGCACAGTTACCAAATACCCAAGAAGGGGAAAGGGGGGGGGGGGTTCATGTTTTAGTCAGACTGGGCATCCATCTACTTTCCATTTTCACACTCGCACGCACAGTGGCCATGTGCAGGTTTCGCACGGCTCTTGCGTCTGTGACGGAATCATCGCCTCGCATCGTGCTTAAAAAAAAAAAGGGGGGGG